GGAAAGGTGGGGGTCATGGAAAAGGGGATGAAGGGGGAACTGGGGCTAGTATGTAAAATGAAAAAAATTAAGTTAAAAAAAAGGAGAAAAGAAAGAAGTCACAGGAGAAAAAAAAAAAGAATGAGTCCTTTCCTGGCGCACTCTTTTGGAGAAGAAATAAATAGAGCTATTCTATTTCTGCAGCATGGCATCAGTAGTGAAATGAGCACTTCTGTGTCTTACTCAGAGACCTTGTTCCTGCACCTAAGCTGTGCTTTGTGCTCAACCTGTCATATAGACAATGTCATTAGAAAAAAAAACCAAACTACTTAACAGGTCACTGATGGTCTTCAGTTCAAATTGTAGCTTCCTTATCCATGTGTAGGTTCTTGGTCAAATCCTGCCCTCTTGGGGGCTTCTGTTTCCTTCCTATTAAAGTGAGAACGGTGCATTCAGCTTTAGAGAAGAAAGTGTGGGGTGACAGCAATCCATCTCATTAGAATCTTTGTGTGTGTGTGTGTGTGTGTGTGTGTGTGTGTGTGTGTGGTGTTGGGGTATACATGAGCCACAACCTGAGTGTGGAGATCAGAGGACAACCTTCAGGAGGAAGCTTTCTCCTTTCACTCTGTGGGTCCCCAGGATCAAACTCATGCCATCAGGCTCTGTCAGCCTAGAACTTACTTTATTTGCTATGTAAGTCGGCTTATATGCATCTTTAAATAAACTTTAATATTAAAAACTTTCAAACGAAAACATATGCAGAATCACATCCCATTTGGTGTGTGAAGGCCATCTGCCTGTGACACCTGTCTCCCCATTGATCGCCAGGCTTGGGTGGCTGATCTGGCTGATCTGGCTGGCTAGACAGCTGTCCCGTTCCTCCCTTACTACTACATATGCTTCTGGGCACCCAGGCTGAAAGAGGACAACCTTCCTCTACTAGGGAATACGTTGTAGGTCAAGGTTATAAGAGTAGGGGCATTTGCCTCCTAGACCCTCCAAATAAGCTCTCAGAATTTATTTTAATATTAATCTGATGACAGATTCCAAGAAATGTCAATAGAAGCAATGTTACATGTTTTTTTTCTATACACTTTGGTCTATCTAATATCATTTACCCATTAACATTCATGTTATACCTATTGTACATGAAACCCTTGATACATTCTACAAAAATCTGAGGACCGTCCCTGTGTCCTGTGCCCATCACCTGCCTCACCTCTCACAGGTGTTGCAGAGGAAGGAAGAAGTGTGGGCTCTTGTTCTGCAATGAAGGTTCTAAATGCTAGGTGTAGTATTTATTAGTTTAATATCACACTAGGCTGCCGCTTTTTTAATTTAATCTTTTACAAGCTGCTGGGAACACCCTATTTCTAAAACTGGCCCAGCAGGGGATATGGGTTGTTGAATCAAAAGATGAGAACTATCTGTTCTTAGGAGTTTCCCTGGCTAAGTGATCTCAGCAGCAGACTTGGAAAATAAGGGCTTGGAGCTGGAAGTGACTTCTAGAAGGCGAGGGTTTGGGATTTGGTGATTCCTTCAAAGGGCTGCATACATTGTGAATACTTACTGAGTGTTTGGTAACAAGCTTACCTGTATGCTGGCAAGTTAGAAAGGAGGGAGAAAATTGGGTGAAGGGAGGGAGGGAGGCAGGGAGGAACGGACGGACGGATGGAGGGAGATACTGAGCCATGTGTTATGACTGAGCAAGCACTTGATTTGGGTCCTGCCTGTGCTAACCCATTCAAAATGTTTTTCTGAAATATGACAGACTGATGTGGCATGCATTCCATTGCCATCAATACTCATGATATAAAAACTAGAAGAAATGGAGTAACTTGTCCAAAGTCAAACTAGGCATTCCCAGAAAGCAGCTGCTCCACTTGACTCCAAAACTGGACTTCCTAATGTCCTGAGTTATATTTCTTGGGAAAGTAGTTGTTTCTCCCAAATAAGACACCTGCTTATTTCTTTATTTCTTCCCCATGAGGGAACAAAGGATGTAAGACCACTTCCAAAGTCACTATGTATCTATAGGTTCTTACCTGCAGAAGCATTTTACCCAGGAGTGTGGCTCCTGGACCAAATACATTGTCAGTCAGTTTCTTTTTTAAAAATAAAGTTTTCATGGGAGAGCCACGGGTATTCATTTTTGCATTGTATGTAATAGAATGCAGTAGTTGTCACAGAGATTTGAGTGACCACAGAGCCTAAAATATTTACTATACAACCCTTTATGGAAAAGGACTGTTGACTAATAGAATATACTAATGTCTAGGGTTTTGTTTGGCTTTGTTCTAATTTTTGAGACAAAGTCTTGCTGTGTAGTCCTGACTGGCCGGGTGTAGTGGCTCACACCTTCAATCTCGGGAGGCAGATCTCTGAGCTTGAGGCCAGCCTGACTACAAAGCTATAGCCAGAGCTACACGGAGAAACCCCTGTCTCAAAAAATAAAAAATAAACAAACAAATAAAAAAGAAAGAAAATATTCTAGATGACCACATACCACCTGTAAACAATTGGTGGGTAAGTTAGTGACAACTGCTTACATTTTCATATGTTGGAATATACATTATTTATATGTTGAATTGTTTTCATGTTGTTGTTTGAGGCAGGGAATCATATAGTTCAGGCAAGCCTTGAACTCTTCCAAACTGCCCTTGAATTCCTGATGCTCCTGCTTTCACCCCCCAAGTGCCACCATACACAACTTTGAAATATATTTTTATTTTTCTAATTAAGTTATAACTTAAGTGTGGGAATGTGCACAAATACACAGAGCAATATTCACAGCACTACAGATACATCCAGAGTCCATCAAAACATAAGACAGCCTTTAATCGGGAAACCGAGGCAGGTGGATCCCTAGCAGCTCAAGGCCAGCCTAGTCTACACAGGGAGTTCCAGACCAAAAAGAAAGAGGTGCCTCAGCAGTTAAAAGCACTTGTTGCTCTTGCAGGAGACTCGGCTTGATTCTGAACACCCATATGGCGGCTCACAACTATTTGTAACTCCTGTTCCAGGAGATCTGCTGCCCACTTCTGGCTCCATAGGTACCAAGGACACAGATGGTGCAGACATACATGCAATTAAAACACTTTTACACATAAAGTAAAAATATTTTTTTATATTGGGGACTGGGGAAATGGTTTAGCACTTAAGAGCTGCTGCTCTTGCAGAGGACCTGAATTCAGTTGTGGCACCCACATGGAGGCTCACACCCACCTGTAACTCCAGCTCCAGAATCAGATGCCCTCTTCTGGCCATCCTAGACACTGTATGCACATGGTGCACAGACATTTGAGCACACCCATACACATTAAAGATAAGCCAACAGGGAAAAATGGCTCAGAGATTAAGAGCACTGACTGTTCTTCCAGAGGACCCTCATTTCCTGTTCTATTCTCAGCACCCACATGGCGGCTCACAACTATCTGTAACTCCAGTTCCAGGGGACCAGTGCCCTGTTCTGGCCTCTACAGACACCAGGCATATACACGGTACACAGACATACATGTAAGCAAAACATGAGTAGACATAAAATAAGTTAATTTTAAATATGAAAAATAAGAATGAATTATCATTTAAAATAAATAAATAGGCAAACATTTAGAAAATAGAACCTTCCTACTACACTAGTAACCTACTCCACTATGGGTTTCCTTTCCTAGTTGACACAATGCAAATGGAACACATAGTACATTTCTGTTTGTGCCTAAGAGTGTTATCACTTTGAGTCTGTAATTTCATTGCTGATGGCCGGAAAAATTTGACAAATCAGCAAAATCTTTCTTTGTGGTACCATCCAAGATGCCCACTTGTTCATTCATTCCACGGATACTTTACTGAGCAAGTGCAAATCTCAGCCTCTTTCCAGGCAATGGTGAGTAAGAGGCCAGAAGGCCCTGTTTCTCTGGATCTTCTCTGTGGTGTAATTTCTCGCAGGCCCCTGAAAAATCCCATGTCTCCCACTGTACAGAGGACTGGCCTCAGATCTTTGACCACCTGCCCCAAGATCTGGAAGTGGACATCTCAGGAACTTAAGGCCTTTAAGGAATTTCATATCATAGAATTTAAGTGGCCCTTCAACTCCCCAATCCCACAACATATAAATAAATCACAATGATGAACCTTCATCAGGGTGCAGTCCCAGTCTGTGACTCCAAAGCCTGTCCTCCATCCCTATGGTATGTCCTCCATCTCCCTCCTGTAGCACCCCCCCCTTCTCATTTGCCCTGAAACTGGTCCTCTCTTAGGGAGAAGTTTTACTGTAGAGTAAAACTTTCATGGGGTGGCTCATTTAGTCATGCAGTTCTACTTGTATTTTTTTTTAATTTTCATGGCAGGTCTGGAGAGATGGCTCGGGGTTAAGGAGATTTATTGCTCTTACAGAGGACCTGGGTTCAATTACCAGCACCCACATGTCAGTTTACAACTGTCTGTAGCACTAATTCCTCTGACCCTGCAATAATCTCTTCTGGTCTCCAAGGACATCAGATACACACATGGTGCACATCCAAACATATAAACATGCAAGCAAAACGCTCCTTCACATAAAAGTTAAAAAATCAATACATGTTCATGGGTATAAAATCTGCTAGCACATCTGTAATTGCAATTATTTGAAATTCACCTACATTGCCTGCCTGGAATAGTAAATAAACTGTAGGTTTGGGTAGGACAATCTCAGGGTATGAATAGCCAGCTTACCAGGGAGACCTACCTGCAGACACACACATTTGAGAGCTGTTCCCTGCACTATAGGTGTAGCTTCCTGCATATTACATGGGTGCCTGGTGTGTGTGTGTGGGGGTGTTAACACCTGAGTTTTGAGAGAGAGGGAGGGAGGTTTGGGTGTCTGGTAGCACACACTAGTTAGCACTGCAAGTCAAAGCTGTGTTGATAAGTAGACAGTGATGGTGGCTTTTTAATTCGTTTCCCTGGCTTGAGACAAACTGATGCCCATTATTCTTATGATATTGAGTAAGAGACAGGGGAAACAAGGCTTTTGGCCAGAGACATTTACTCTGAACACTTCATTATCCTGCCTGAGTGGCGCTGGGAGTCAGGAGAGTTCTACAGGGCAGAATCACAAGAGGCAAGAATCTGTCACATGTCACAACAAACTAGAAAGCAAGGTGAAGTGAAGGGCCCCACTTCTGTGAACTTATAACCCCTTTCTTAGATAAACAGTGCTCGGAGTAAACCTTGGGTGGGATCCCACGCATGCACCCACCCCCTTCCGGAGCACAGGTGATCTGGTACGCTCTGCTTTTCACAGAATCTTCATTCATCTTTGCAGCCTGACTCAGAAGCCCGGAGTCTGCTCACCAGGAGGTCTGACCCTGAGCCTAGCAGTCGAGGGCTGCGGGCCTCTCTTCTCCCTTGTGAATCTTCATCTCTACCTCTGACCCAACCGCAATTTCCTCCTAATCCGTTGCGTTTGAAAATACAAGCAGTCAAGAGACTGTACTTAGAAGTTCCTTTGCTCTCCTGATGGTTCGTCACCTTTGTCCCTCTTTGCCCAGTTCTTCCAACCTGATTCTGAGAATCCTAAGCTTCCAAAGGGCTCTATTTCACCCCTGGGAAGTGGCCTTCCATTTTCACGGACTGGAAAGTGTGAACCAAGTTGTCAGCCAGTTTTGCACAGGTGATCTTCCTCAGTGTCTATACCTTTCCTGGATCCTGGCTATTAGGACTATTTTTCACAAACGAGGGAACGGAGGTTCAAAATGGCCTCTGCCCCGGGAGCTACTACCGTTTGTGGATCTAAGCAGTCTCTACCCCTGCAGGTCAGGTCCTAGCCTGGAGGTCTGGGTACGGCCTGCGCCTCCTTTCTTCCTCTCCCGGTCCCAGGGGAGATGTGGCAGAAACTCCTGCCGCGCCGAAAGGCTCATGACTTCCTTCCGGACCAGATCTGGGGGGGGGAGTTTCTTCAATGGCGTTGGGGGTGCCTGCTTTAGGTGACAGGCAAGACCACCGCCACAGTGAACTTGAGTTTCCTAGAGCGCCTCTCTAACTCCCGGCACTCGTACCGAGGACCTCCTAGAACTAAGAACCAGAAAAAGTGGGTAATCCGCAGCTGAAACAGTCCGTCCAGCCCTGTGGCTGCAGCCCTAGTTTTGCCTGCTAAGCCCGGGCACATTTATATTCCGGGTTTAGGCTAGAGAGCGTGCCCCAGGTGTCCTGCTCCTCCTAGCTTGGCGGGACTAGCGCAGCCCTGCTGCAGCGGAGCTCCACTTTCGCTACTCCCTGTGGCCATAAATTCGCCTCCTTTCAAGGGTCCTAAAGACCTATAGCACTCTTAACTACGCGATCTGGGCTGGCTGTCCTGCAAATCCAAACTACCAAGCCTGGTTGAGGAGAACCTGGAGAGCAGAACAGAGAGAAAAATAAATGGGGCCCCTCCAATTCGTTCTAACCGTCCCTAGAGCCAGTCTCTTCTTCCTGGTGCCCATTCCCAAAGGATCGAACTCTCCACCACCCCGCTGCATTTCCAGATTTGCTACCTGCGGATACCTTGGAGATTCTCTGCTCTCCTCATGCTCCCCTTGCTCCCCTCTTCCACAGCACCCCAACTTTCTCCAGCTCTCTCACCTGAACCCCCCGAAGCGCAGTTTCTTCTTTCTGGACTAAAGTTGAACGCGCTGCCAGTGGAAAAGCCCCCCCACCCCCACCCAACCTAGGCTGCAAGCCACTTGCTTAACAAGTCCAAAGGTCAGCTAAAGTTTGGCTGATAAACAGAATCCGTAGAGAAGATTTGTAGCCCCCCCCCCCAAGGGTGAGTACAATGGGCTCTGGCAAGTCCCGATCCTGGCCCGAGTCTCCGGCTCCGTTGGATTGTCCCTTAGGCTCTCCCACTCTCTCGGTTTTTTCCCCCTCCCCACCACCATTTGCATCTTGCCGAAAGCCGAGCCCTTCCCACTCATTTGCATATCTTATATGGCCTAATGGTGGCGATCATGGCAAGTTAGAAGTTTTCTGACTCCTCTCGGAGGAGACTCCGAGACCCCAGGGAGTAACAGGTGTCTGGAGGCTAAAGGGTGGAGGGGTTCCAGGACTTGGGGTTCTCTTGTAAAACTCCCCTCCACCCTCCTCTCTCACACCCACCCATCCCCTCACCCCCTTCTTTTTCCGTCCTTGGAAAATGGTGTCCAAGCTCACCTCGCTACAGCAAGAACTCCTGAGCGCCCTGCTGAGCTCTGGAGTCACCAAGGAAGTGCTGATCCAGGCCTTAGAGGAATTACTGCCGTCCCCGAACTTCGGGGTGAAACTGGAGACACTGCCCCTGTCCCCCGGGAGCGGGGCGGATCTGGACACCAAGCCGGTTTTCCATACTCTCACCAATGGCCACACCAAGGGTCGCTTGTCTGGGGACGAGGGATCGGAGGACGGAGACGACTATGACACCCCTCCCATCCTGAAGGAGCTGCAAGCACTCAACACCGAAGAGGCCGCAGAGCAGCGGGCAGAGGTGGACCGGATGCTCAGGTAGGCAGCAAGCGAGGTGCTGGGTACGCCCCGGGCCACCCCCACCCCCATCCCCCGGGTCCCTGGAGTCAGTTCCTGGCCCCGCGCTGGAGGAGTGTGGTGCAGACTATTCTCCCACGAGTCCCTTTCCCATGGGAAAAATTCCCCGAGGGTGCTCTGCTTCTCTGCTAACAACTGAATCAGTCCTTCAGCCAGCCGGGTGACCTGGAACCCGAGGCTTCATTTGCCTCTACCTAGGCCGCTGCCCTGGACGCAAGCACCTTGTTGGTGGTACCCAGGCGCGAGAACCGAAGGTATGAAGCTTAGGTCACACGACTAGAGGTGCAGGTGGGTGCAGAGAAACAGCTGTGAATTTCCTAGGACCTCAAACTTATGCCCCCACCCACTTTCAAAACCTCAAGCCACGCATTTGTCCCAGAGACCTGCAGCTCTTTGAAGAGAGGGTCTGGCAGCATCGGGGGCTGAGGCCTGGGAAGCAAGTTCTTTGGGTCCTTGCTTCTGCAGCGCGGCGAGCGAGCTTCAGGTTTAGATTTGTAAAGTAGAAAGTTTGTTGTAGGGTCACGAATGACCCGTGCTGGGCAAAGAAACGACGAATGAAAGGAATAGAGAATAGGTGGGAAACAGGCTCCTAAGACACTCTCGCCCCACTTCGTGGAGCACCTGGCCCCAATCTGGGAAAGGTGGGCGTGTACGCATCTTACTGCCGATACCCCTGCGATCCCGAGGGGAAGCGGCGGGCTGGTGGGTAGCTGGAATCATTTGCCTGTCCTCTCGCACTGGCCTACACTTTGACAGCTAGTTACTAATTATCCAAGGAGCCAAGTGATTCCCTTAGACCACACGTCGCTCCGGAGCCACTTGGCTTCAGGAAGGAGCCCCTCGCGTGGCCTCTGACTCTTAAACCCGGGGGCTTCAAAGTTTCAGGATCCAGGGTGAAGGCCCGGCCTCGGCAGCTCGACTCTCTCTCCTCTCTCCGGCTGTGTGCGCGCGCGTTTGAGCTGAGATATGACCTTGCATTTGAGTTTGCGCTTTGAGGACCCGGCCGCTTGCCCTCTAGTCAAGGCAATCTGGAAGACTTCTAGTTTTGTTTTTTAATCCCCCTAAATTGTTTTTCCCCCCTCTAATCCGCAAGCTTGAGTTTCTTCCCTCGCTGTTTCTCCTTGTGGCTGTGATTTCTCTCCGGCCGGGTTTAGGGGCTTGGATGGTATCAGGAATAGAAGGAACGGATTGGGGAGCCGAGCCCTTCCGAGTGTCTAGGGAGGCAGGGTGGTAGGGAGGTTGTCCTGGGCCCGGCTCAGCTACCTAGCATCCTGTCGCCAGACCCCTGGGGCCTGGACCCTTTCTCCTGACTGCCCTGACCGCCGTCTAGTTTGCCTCGGAGCCGATCTAGGGAAGCCGGGGAGGCCTAGTGAATCTCTGTACTGCGGTCCCCACACCGTGCTGGACACAGCGGAGATGTAACATAAACTGCAGCACGTGGAGTTGGGGTGTTATTAATTTATTCCTATAAATCATCAACAGAAAGTACACAAAGACCGTGATTAGGTTGAAAAGAGAGGCGGGTTATTCATTGGTGAAGTTGTAAACTCGGCTTAGAAGGGAAGGAAATCAAAACGCAGGAGGGGGTGCTCGCGGGGCGCTGGCACGGCACACGCACTGCGCCGCAGGCGCGCCCCCAGGTCCTTGTGCCACTCCGGGAAGCCAATACCCGCAGGGCCCCGCAGGCACAGAGCCTTTCGGGTCGGAGATCTTAGGACTTGGTCCTTCCCTCCCCCAAGCTGGTGGAGAGCGAAAGGAGAGGAGCCCAGACTCTGGCTGGGGTGAGGACCCAGGACACACCCTAAGGTTTTTGTTCCTTTCACAAGCTGGTGCCGCCTTCTCTCCCCTAGGCCTCCTGAAGCTTCCGACTTTATTAAAGTAATTTTTCAAGAAATTGCTAGCGGCTCCCAGGTCGCTACACAGCCGGCTGCAGGGTACCAGGCACTCCCTCCCCAAACCACCTTTGTTGCCCTGTAAGTCAGGAAGAAAAGAAAGGTGTGCGGGGGAGGAGGGTCACTCGGTGGAGCGCCAGGACGCCTTCACCCTGGCTGGAGAAGGTTGGCCCGAGAGGAAGGTCGCAAACTGTAGCGTCCTGCAGTCACCGACCGCCGGCCCTGGGGCTGATGTGTCCTGAGGACTTAGGAGAATCAGCCGCCACCTAGGAAGCAGGAACCGAGGCTCCTGGCCCGCGCGGCTGGGGCTCAAGGCTTCTCTGCTCTGGGGCAGCAAAGTCATTGTTGAGGAAGAAGCCGGCCGGCCGGGAGAACAATGTGGTCACCGCCGGCTGGCGTTTGACACCTGCGCTGGCTCCAAAAAGTCAACGTTTACCCATGATCCCGAGTTTATCCCGGTGAGGAAAATATATTTCCCAAAAACTCCTTACCGGGGCCTCAGAGCTCTCCCCAGGGAACACGAGGGACAGACATTAAGGGGTCTGAGAGGTTTAAAAAAAAAAAGTGTAGCTACGCCATCTTACCCCCAATTCAAAACTTGTAATTCCGGGCCTGAAGGTTTTGTCTCAACGGTTTTTGTGCGGGTTTTCTTTTGATTTTTGCTTTGTTTTTCTCTTTCTTCCTTAACTGTCTCATTGTTGCGTTGATCCCCTTAGCACAGAGCCATTCACACTTAGAACACAACACTATTTCGCTAGGCTAGGTTTCTTAGACACGCAGAGTAACAGGTAAAGCAGTTAAACAAAGGAAAAACGCTCAAATGATCCGTTAAAGCGATACAGTATTAACTTTTAAAACCCAAATACTGTTTTCTCTAACTTTTGGAGCTATTGTTCGTACCTGTTAGAAATGTTTTTCTACTCTAAAAATATCTTTGGAAATGTTAGCCAGCAATGAGTGTTTAGACGATCACTGGTATTTACGTGGTTATGTCTAAAATGTTGATTGCTGTGTTTTTCTCTCACTCGCGGTAAATTCTCCAGGTATGACACTGGAACGCATTTCCTCTGTTTTTGTTCTTGTTACTTCATTATGTTGTTTTACTTTATGTGCCTTTATAAATGCTTGAGAAACTTGTTAACTTATGTATAATTAATGTGAAAGTTTACATTTCTCAAAAACATCTCTTTTAAAGCCTGCCTTCTCATGAATCCAATAGCCAAGGCATGCTGAAATAGTCACAATGCAGATGCCTAAAATATCTCCCTTGATTGCTGGAGATTTTTAATACATTAAACAAATTAATTGATTTTACAGGCACCGTTGACAAATGATTGTTTTACCACTGTGTCTAATTTGATCTCAGCTCTAACACCAATTTTTATTGTTTCATCTGAACCCAATTTTCTCTTTTTTCAGATTCTATTAAGCATATATATATACATATATATCAACATGTAGTGAAGGACTGTTTCTGTAACTGCATTAAATAAATTGTACATACACTTGTATTGCTCCTTTAAGACTTTTGATCTGTGCCCTCTGTTTTACTTTCTTGGTCTCTTGATTTAAATGACAGTTCTCATTCTAAGTTTTCCTTTTAACAAGCAAGAAAGAATAACAATGAGGTTGGAAACATTCTAAATAAAAAAGCCTCTATGACATTCCAATGCCTTGTTTATAATGACAAGCTGTGCCTGTGTTTGCAAGACACAGAAGTCTGACTACACTCTCAGTCCAAACTTGAAATCCACAGACCTGTCACCTCCCAGGCAGCCTTTCTGTATCAAAGGGATGCAACTGTACAGGCAAAAAGGAAATTGGAAAAATTAATGTCTCACTCCCAAAACTGAAATTACTCTTCTTCAATACGATGTATTTGGGAGGCAGGCCTATGGATAATTAAAAACAAAACAAAACAACAAAAACTTTATCTGCTTTACAAGTGTACTGATTCTTAGCCCCAGGGAGTGTTGCCATTGTATTTGAGAACACTTTTCTAAAACTCCAATAGCGATGTAATATTTGGTAACAAAAGGAATCACAGCAACACAAATGTTTATGAAGTATCTCAGTTTGACTTCAGGAGGTTCCTAAACACATCAAACAATTTTTTAAACATCCAGGCACTCTTTGGAAGACTCCTTGAGTCCCAGGAGGTGGGCACACAAGCCCACCCCTTCTTTAACAGACTGGGCCTCCTTTTCAGAAGTAGAAAAACACTGGG